AATTAATCATACAAGTATATTGAAGTATATGAAATATTGAATGAAACATTGGCATGTACACTGAAGTTGTATTATTGACCTGTACGTCATTGTACATCGTTGGAAGAACTCATTGCCTGAAAATTCTTTCATACGGGTGGTCTTGAAAAATGGATTCTAATTCAGATTTAACGAAATGATTAAAGGAAGTGTTTTTTTTTATATTCAGTTGATGTAGGTACATAATGTTTTGTAAAATAATAATAAATAATATCTATCTACTTTCATTCGAGGGTTATTTTAACATCAGGTTAAAGTGCAACATACGAGTACATATCTGAAAGATTTTTAAATGTATATGTGTAACGCATTCAGTAACACAGACAATAATAGTACATAAATTATACAATGCACAACTCATAGTCATGTGCCGATAACAAACGTTCTCAAGATGAAGTACATTTATAATCCTTTAGAATGGTCAACTTTATTTAAGCATTCATTAAGTATTTAAGTATTAATTATTCTTAAAGTTTCATCTATGCTTCTTATATGTTTTTTTTTCACATAACAACAGTACGATATAAATACCCCCTTCTTTTTTTTTAGATGTGTGCATTTCCCTGTATTTGTTGTTTAACACATTTGTTGTTTAACACATTCTTTTCTAAAATCTGCAGCTTCTTTTATTTTATGGAATGGTTCCTGTTTAAGTGACTCCTGAAAAGGCCCTCTGGTAGTCTCCCACAACATGCTGACAGATTCCTAGTATCTGCAATATGATAGGTCTCTGTTACATAGAGGAAGATATGTCCCGTCATAATAAAGTAATACAGCAGTGTCTGTAGGTCTGTCAGTGACTGTAAACACTGAGATCTATTACCTAGTCTATAGTGAGATGACACAGACAAAATCTCCACTTTAACAAAGGATGATATTTGTAGAAAGTTCATTAAACATGACATTTTTACGTTTCTCTGTAATTGTAATTTTATTCTAAAATCTAAAGCTTTTTTTTATTTTGTGGAACAGATACTGTCTGAGCGACTCTTCATAAGATCATAATGCCCCGTGTAAGTGTCCCACAATATGATGACAGATTCCTATTATCTGCCAAGATATGTCTCTGATATCTAAAGGCACATATGTCCCTCTTAATTATTCATTTGTTTATTTCGCTTTTTCCGGAGAAAATAAAAGAAATGTTTATTTGGAAATAAAGTGCTTTACAGTTTAACTTTTGCTGTGATAAAATACATAATACGTATGTTTAATAAAATAAAAGCCATTTTTCCAATCAATCAACAGTTTTTGGGTAGGTTTAAGTTTTCGCGGACAACAGACGTACAAATCGATAGGGCAAAAACTATTTAACCCGTAATCTTCTAACACAGGGGTGTAACGGGATAGCGCTCTAACATCTGACACCGTAAAGATAAGTATAACTGGATGGCTCTACAGAAATGGTACTTTTGACACCCGACAATTTTCTAATCTTTTAAACCAATTGATTTTTAAATTAAATGATGAACTCCGTTAATAATTAAAATAAGATTCAAATACATTGAGATGATGGCTTATTTTGGCTTAATCTCCTAGGAAACAAATTTTATACATGTAATATTCAAACACTTACAAAATGCAATCAAGAAAATACAATAAAACAAAATATAGTGGCTGCAGACGTCCTAACACTAAAATCCCCCAAAATATTAAACTTCCGTAAAACGTAATTAATTTCTTAAATGACTCTTATAAATAAATACTAAAATATTACTTCAGCATATTACTGAGTTAAAATTAAGAAAATGTCCCGAACGTTATCAAATTTTCACCTACATTCTATCTTAAACCCCCAAAATCCAGAGTCTTCGTTATACAACGGCAGTTCACTTATATACCCTCAGGAAACGGTCCCGTTCCAAAACACAACGGAATCCGTTGGAAAGCAACGAAATCCAATAGGAAAATACAACGGAAAATAGTTCCCGGCTATAAAGAGTTACTTTAACAAGTTTAAAATATAAATAAATTATAACTCCAATTCATTAATGTATCATAAAACATAATTAATTACCTTAAGGCTCATTTGTCTAATTAATGAAAAAATCTGTCAGCGCATAAATATCAGATGCGCTGATCAAAAAGTAAACGAAAATTCACTCATAATGCATTATGCCGCCATGTAAATAGATAAATAGACTGTCAACTGCTTACAACGCGTGTCTGCATAATATACTGGTAAAATACGTAATTTAATCAAAACATCTAGTAGATCATACTCTTTTTACAACAGTTATGCAATTATTTCAACAAGGACATCGTTAAATACGAAGGGATATGCATGTTAACTTAAACTCGTTTTACTCTCTTTTTGCATACGATGACTTGAAAAGTTGTAAATCCAATTTTAGAACATCACGTTATAAATATACATAATTATGGTCAAAATACTCAAATTGTGAATCATTTATAGGATTAAATAAATATGCCAAGATTTGTAATTTAAATAATACAAATAAAATATGGGAACTTGAAATAAACAAACTTTACAGGGGCATAATTAAGCAATGAATCATTATTTTTTGAGTGATATAGTTTCATAACTGCAACGGTGTGTGCAAACAAATTGAATAACGCGCGTTAGCGCGTTATGGAAATTTGTTTGCACACACCATTGCAGTTACGAGACTATATCTTTCAAAAATTAATAATTCATTGCTTATATTTACATTTTTTTTTAAACTTTCTACCTTAACTGCAAATGTGATTTCTATTTAAAAACCTATGTATTATCCTTCGTGGTAGCTACATTTAATGGATCAGCCAACGTAACAGCTTCTGGTCAATTTGAACGTGATTTTATGATTTTCGCTTGTGACGTTGCACTTCCTCGGCGTTCAACGATTATGACGTCAAACTTAAACGCATGTTTTAACCTCTTGGCACCCTGTCTGTGTTATGGTGTTTTGAATGCAATAGATTTCCATTAAGAAATAAGGTATCATTTTTAAACATCTACCGGGATATAAATACGGGTCGGTCACGAGATTAAATTCCATAAAGCCCGAAGGGATTTATGATGAATTTAATCTCGTACCGACCCGTATTTATAGCCCGATAGATGTTTTAAAATGATACCTTATTACTTATATTTACATTTGTGACTAATTCATACTTTATATTTGCATAATTGTGACTTTTAACGTGTGAAATGCATTATTTTTCAAACCCAACGGCATGTATGTAATTTACTGAACGCGCGTCGACCCTTTATGACGTCACTGAGAAATTACGTCAAACGATTATCCAAACGCACATCTATGACCTTTTGACCCCATACCTGTATTTATACAGTTATAGATACGCATTCCTTTCAGTAGTGTTATATAAAGGAAAACATTTGCAAATGTAAATATTTAAGAAATAAGGTATCATTTTTTTAGTTTTATTGGGATGTAAAACAGGTTGGTCACGTGATCAAATCCCATAAAGCCTGAAGGGCTTTATGGAAGATTTGATCATGTGCCAACCTGTTTTACACCCCAATAAAACTCAGAAAATGATACCTTATTACTTATATTTACATTTATGACTTATTCATATTTTAAATTTGCTTGACTGTGGCTTTTAACGTGTGAAATGCATAATTTTTCAAAACCAACGGCATGTATGTAATCCACTGAACGCGCGTCGACCCTTTATGACGTCAGTGAGAAATTACGTCGAACGTTTATCCATGCGCACATCTATGACCTCTTGACCCCGTACCTGAATTTATACAGTTAAAAAAAACGCTTGCTTTCAGTGGTGTTATATAAAGAAAAAAACATTTGCAAATGTAAATATTTCATTTTATATGCAAAAAATATATGTAATGTAAATATAAATACATAATCCTCATAAGCGGACGTAAGTTTGACTGCAGTGACTATATACAGCCATCAGGTCCCCATAAACAAATAAAGACATTGTTTAGTGTTAAATACGATTAAAATCATTTAATCTTAAATATAGATATTTCAAATGAAAGAAATCATTTTATGTTGGATTAAGCACACAAAATACTGTATAATTGATCTAACATCTTTTTATGTTTCATTGAATCAGTTGCTTGTGAAGTCTTTCATGCAGGTGGCTTTGAAAAATGGGTTTTGACTAGTTAAGTGTTGGCAAAATGGTTTCAGGAATTATAGTCAACACAAGAAAGAAAAGTAAAAATATTCTTTGAATATGTAGATATATGTCAGTTAAAGTTTTCAAGCTTTTCGATGTCATCCCAATTTTTGTGAAAGAAGATGGGCGCATTTGGCGGGTGATCTGCAGGAATCATTTGTACGAAACATTTATGGTTTAAATGTCCATGATTTGGTTGGCTGAACATACCTGGTCAGATTTTACAAACACGTCCATGGACTTTTTTTTTTCATTTGGTTTGAAAGACATTGTGAAATTGTAACATTTATGTCCATTTTTTTCTAGGGGGAACTATAACATAGTAATATTTCACAAACAATAAAACCTAAAATATATTTAATGCATAGATGCATGATACGTGTACATGTACATTATAAAATAGAAGATTAGAATTGATTTCGCTTGAGAACCAAACTGAACCAAAATTTATCTAATTCAAAATTTTAATAAATCAGTACATAAAACGAAACTGACAAAATAAATGGTTGCTTGCCTGAATAAAAAAAAAATAACGCCCTATGCCAGGCTCGAACCAAAAACTTTTCGCTTCGAGTGCACTGAACAGGTAGCCTAACTTTCTGAGCTATCACCGCTACACATGTTCAAGTGTCTTTAAAAGGACAAAGACGCACCACATTGACACATTTGGATTTCTGGGGAAAAAGTTTATTTTTCGTGGTCTCTGGGTCTTCTCTCCATTTTTTAAAAAAGTGTATTCGTTTCTTTGAATTAAAATACACACAAATAACGTTTCAAAATCATGGAGAGAAGTCCCAGACATAGAAATTTTTTAGAAAGATGTGTTTCAAAATGTACAATTTTGTACCAAATGTCTGATATGGCCAATTTTCAAGTTATTTTTTAGCAAATCAAAGCTCAATTTCGGGAAAATATTTTTCGTTCCTGTTGCACAGGAACCCGATAAATTAAAAAAATGTTAAAATTTCATGTGACATGTCAATAAAATTTTCACTTTTCAATTACGCCCAGGTTCCTGCCGAATGCCAATCAAAAGCGCCCACGTTCTTTGTTTTAAAATGAAAAAAAAAGCTTTTATAGCGCAGTTACCATTTTGCAATTAAAATTAACAAAACAATTGTGATATTATGCTTTATTATAGTTCAAATATTTTTTCATTTGCTAACAACATTATGTAAGTTGGATTATACAGATCACCATGTAGACAAAAAACTTTTTTCCCTAAAATCAAGATTCATTTTGATGCCCTTCAACGTGTTCAACAGTCCTAAGAATAAAGAAAAATTTAATTATTTATTATCATTTAAATGATCTACCCTGTTTAAGTAAGTGCAAGATTTAACAGTAAGGTTTATATGGAAGCAAGAAAATGCATGTATTAAGTATTCATTAAGTTTTCATCTGTGTTTCTTACAATTTTTTTTTTTACACAAGTATCGCTTCGTGATCTACTACGTTTTAAATTGACGATAGATACATTAAAAAACCTATCATTATATGTGTCCATTGCTCTGTAATTGTTGTTTAACACATTCTATTCTAAAATCTGTAGCTTCTTTTATTTTGTTATACCATTTCTGTCTTAGCAACTCTTCATAAGACCGTAATGCCCCATGTAAGTCTCCTACAATTTGTTGACAGATTCCTAGTATCTGCCAGGATAGGTCTCTGAAGGGTAAAGGCACATATGTCCCGTCATCATACAGCAGCAGTGTCTGTAGGTCTGTCAGTGACTGTAAACTCTGAGATCTATTTCCTAGTCTATAGTGAGACAACACGGACAACATCTGTAGCATAACAATCGGTGATACATGTAAGAAATACTCTCTATTTTGCTGACTTACATACTGCTCGACACATAATTCTTCAATACAGGGAATATTTCTAACTAAACACAAAGAATCTACCCATGCTATATTCATTCTTCTAGACAAAGACAGATTACCTACAGCCTCATTGTATCTCTGCCTATTAACAGTTGCAATATGCATATTAAAGGTCTGTAATAGTCTTTGTCTAGTGAGATATGTAATACGTACAGTCTTATCATACCTCCCTGTTCTGTAGTAATACAATGCCAGATACAGTACATAAGACACAGGACCTAATTTTGCTGCCATTTTCAATATGCCACAAATTATTGTATCTAAGTTATAGATATCTTTATGTGTGTAACATAAAGAACCGTTTATCTCTATAAAAGCTAGAAAAACAAGATTCTGAGCAGTACAATACTGCAATGTTAATAACTGGTATGGCGAGAGTAATAACCGAGATAGTGTATTTATTGATTTTAGATAAAGATAAGAGTCCAGTATGTCTTCTGCAAATAAAGTTAATTCAGATAATTCATTCATGCCACATATATCTGAATCTGCAATACTAATGAATTCTCCCTCAGCAGAAGATAACACAAAGGACAGGCTACTAAGGGCTGGTTCTAGGATTGATCTGAGACTTGGACTCAGTAGTAGACAGGACACACCCATTCTGTAATACTGAAAGAGCTGTTGTAATAGAGATTCACGTGCACCACCAACAATTTTATTTCTGAACATGTTGTTCTGTGGAATGAAAAAATTAGGAAGCGCTCCCCGGTAAACACAATGAAGAAGATATTTTAAACACCTCCAAAAACAATCCAACAAGTTGTTTGGACACCATTTAACTTGTCCTGATTGCATCATCCAGAACATTGCAGTTTTAAGGAAATATGAACACAGTAATGGTTCCTTTCTATAGTTAACAACTTCCTTCAGGAATATTTTCAGAAGTCCGTAACATGAAAATTGTGTATGATTTATGGTACACACCAGTTGTTGTTCGGCTTGAGAAAATGATAATCTCCATTCCAATTCGTCAGAAGTCATATTTACTTTACTACCAATAGGCATACAGTGACATTCATTTTTTAGGATTTTTTCTAACACAGATGACGGCGGCCAGGTATGTCTCTGACATCTGTCAACCCAACTTCCTACTAGTTTAGGCCAAGGAAAAGTGGCTAAACAATCAGCTTCATCGAATTCAACAGATCCTACAAAACCACTACTACAAGGACCATGAATTATGATATTTTCAGAGCGGGAACCTTTATTAATCCTGTGCTGAAAATAGTTTTCTCTCCAGAGACGACTGGATAGATAAGATCCACCATTAAAGAGAACAAGGCAAGATATCGTGTCTTTGCGTCGTGTTGGTGTCAGTAGGCGCAGTTTGACAAATCCAGGTGGTGTATCAAAATCTTCCATGAGCACTATAATATGTTTTGTTGCATTATAAAACCGAGACTGCGAGATGTCAGTAATTAGTTTATAATTGCATTCCCAGAACATTGCATCCCTGTCAGATGATTTCAACCTTAATCCCTCTCTATGACTCCCACTGTACATTATAGCACAGCCTCTATGATTATGAACAGGTTTCTCTATCATCTCTCTTATATCCATCACGTCCCTTCTGATGGCCACTTCTGTCGGTGTACCTATCTTACGACACAGACCAACATACAGGACCTCTGATAGACGGGGAATGTGATCCATTCTGTCAGTGTAAATAAGTATTGTTTATATCATAGAAAGTAAAGTAATAATTTTGTATCATTTTCTTTTAGAAATTCAATATATCATGACTGATAGATACATACATGTAACACTATTTAGGTTTCTAATATTCTCTCTGCAAATGGCGGTCTGTGCGTTATTTAAAGGGAAATACCCGTAAAACCTTGTTTCGTTTTCTTTTTAGCATTATAATAGTTATTACAATTGTAAACTAAGAGAAATAGGTGATTTTAAGTACACGTATACGCATGTAGTTAGGTCGATGAAAGAGAGAACGGAAATCTTCAGTCGTAGAAATAAAATCAGACGTTGTCCCAGTGTCTTTAATAATATATAATTCTTATGCACAGGTACCCCAACTCCCCAGATATACAACCCCAGGTCAAAATATTTTTTTAATTTTTTTTTATGAATCATTCTTCTAGTTCATATTTCCAGTGTATTCCATATGGATAGCAATAAGTCACTTGAGTTTACCCAGGTGACCTAAAAAGCCAAAGAAAAGAAGAATATATAGTGATCACGTAAAATCAAGCTAAGTTGTGCTACTGGTCCCTGTGATCCGCAACAGTAAGGCTCTCTTTGAATGACCTTATATTTTTCTTCTTTGACCATATTTTTTACTATAATCATTTTTGTAACTGTCATCAATATTGTCTTATAGAGATATTCTTCAGTCAAAAACTGTGTGTGTCATTTACACATTTGAACAACTCATTGTGACTTGGTTTTTCTGCTTCCTCTAGCTTCTAAATTATTATATAATTTTTATAGATTAAATTATACAAATAACTAAAATATACCAAATCTCAAAAATACTTTTAGCATAGCATAATATTTTAAAGAAACCTGAATAAAGACAAAATATACATTAAAGATTTTAAGAGTTATTGCTCCTATCTTGCTGAAAACGGATTTAATGAATGACCTTATATGTCTGTATGAAATCCAGGCGCGGATCTAGAAAATTTCATTGGGAAGTTTGAAAAAGGGGATGGGGTAAGGAAAAGAGTTGTTTTAATGTACGTTTACATATAGTTAACCAACTTAAGAGGATACAAGGATGAAGTATCGTTTTTAAATGTCAGCCTGGTAGAAGAATAATCAAATATGGATTTATACCTGGTAATTTTTGACAATGAAAAAAAAATATTCGAACCCAAAAATCCTATTTATTAAAGGGGGGTACTTTGTTTTCACAACCCAATGCCTTTATATATAACTGCATTAGACTTTCGTTGAACACTTTCTGTAGTTGAAACACAACAAAAATTTGGAATTCTTCTTTGTCTAGCAAATCCAAAGAGGAAGGGGGTTGCAACCACCGTTAACCCCCCCTTCTTGGATCCGCGTCTGAAGTCCAATTTTTTATTCTTACAGAGAATGACTCTTAAGTATGAAAACACGAAGTCAAATAAATAGTACACCACACGTTAAGGGCTATTAAATTGAGGATTCAAATGTGATTCTTCCCTCTCCAGAATAAAATGACCAAGCTTTTAGATGACCAAATTTAAAGACACAAGGATCATGGTCAAAATAGGGCAAAAAGAGTGTTAAGAAACCAGACATGAATATTTTGAGCTAGTTAATAGGGAGTACGAGATAAGGGTCATCTTATTTTGGTTTGACTGTTGTTTATACATAAATGCAAATGAATCGTCCTTTGGCACATAGTTTTGGGGAAGGGGTAGCCCCCCCCCCCCTTTGTTCAGACATACATGTATGTTTTTAATGTAAAAATTGTTCAATGTAAGTCCGGTCGATCACCAAACTTTTTTGTCGCAATATACAAAATAAGGCAATGTAGTATGAGTGAGTAAAAATTTGCTAATAAAAGTTGGAACATCGCCCCAACCCCCCATGAAATAAGATATTGCGATTTTGTAGAACTTTCCTTTTCTTTTATTTTTCTTGTCAAGTTATTTCAAATCAGTTTTTTCTGTCCTCCCCCCCCCCCTGCTAAAACGATGCTACGTCTCTGGTCTTTATGAAGACTGCAAAGTAACATTCATGCCCAGTCATATGATTTTTTTTCAGGTTTCAAATTGTTATGCTTCATTTATATGCCTTTATTATAAGCTAGATTTCTGACATGCTGGATAGGACATAAAATTGCTGTTATCTTCCCATATTCTCATATCTGTATAATTTATTCATGATATTTACACTTCAATTGCTACACAAGAACTGGAATATAGAAGAATTCATCATAATTTTATTATACATGTAGTGCCAGTCTACACTATGAACTACTTTATCCTAGCCACAATGCAAATGTGCATATTTATTTATTTCAGCATGGCTTTTAGAAATATTAGAGGTATTTAAATTGATAGTTTGTCAACAAATAAACTTAACATGCGAAATTTCTTCGCATTTGCCATCCATCAGCACATGACTTCAATAAATTCAGAGATTTAATACTAGGTAGCATTGCAATAAACAATTGAATTCCTTGAAATTAAAAAAATTATGCTTGACAAAATTTAATACAGTAAGCAAAAAACATTTGGATGAAACATATGGAGATTGAACTTTAACATAGATTGCAAACTAAATATTCGTGTTTCTTGCTCAAGAACATCATAACTAATTTTATTTCAAACTAAACTCACAAGACTCGAGGTCTTGGTTGACTCAATCGAAGAATGTTAGGGAAATCTAGTTTTATAAAAACAAAATATCATTGTCTTTTTTCTTGAAAATACCATGAAAAAATTTCTTTCATGCTAAACTTTATTTTTTACTATGCCTGCACGTGCTTATCAATTTCAAACCAAACTTTCATGAATAATTTACCTGATCCACCATACATGTACATGTTCGTCTCGTTGTAGTCTCACTTAATCTCGTCAAAGCTACAAGGCCTTCGAACACCTCTGGTATTATACATGTTATTGGTAACACAAAAAAAGATTAGAAGAAATGAAGACGACTATCATAAACTTAACATATACGTTTTATTCGCAATAACTATTATAAATTTATTTATAAATATATATATAGCCCAATCATTCTCGTGTAAATTTGTATTTTATTCATTAAGATTATATGGAGCGATGTCCACAATTTGTAAAAAAAAAAAAAAAAAACTGTCTTGCTTATAAACAGGTCGAGACCACTACCTTATATGGAAGGCAATTTTCAACACGTGACGATGTCTTTGTCACGCTCGTTCTCCAATCAAGTGAAAGATTCCCAAAGCATAACAGTCTACCACGTGTTAACAATTCAATGGGTACACGTGGTTTTCGTCGGTTTACTGCACAAAATTTAACTCGTCACCGGAAAAACTGTAGAGCTTCTTTATAACTTAGTTAGACCGAAATTGAAAGATTATATTGTAAAGACAATGCTCCATGCTCACATTTAATATTGGAGTTGTTTTAGATGATTAACAGTTGCTTCGAATATCGTACAAACGCTTTGACTTTTGCATATACATAAAACACTTTCTGATAATATTGAGGGGTTAAATAATAAATGCACACTTTCTCCTGCTGTCTAAAAACAAGGACCTATATACTACCTGCGAAAGCTATGTACACGTATATCACGTGAAAAAACAAACTCAATGTTTTATGGACACGATAGCACTTATACGTCTCTTTGAACAATGGTATACTAGGCTGATGTATTATAAGTTGATATAAGGCTTCATAAACAGGTCTAGGCGGCCTCTGTTTTTGGAGGATAGATTTTATCCTCTAGAAACAGAGGATGGAGGTGTCGCCACCTTCCGGACTTTTCAAAACAAAGGGCAGTCTAAACCAAACAAATAACAGCAACTCTTGCATCTCAAGTCCCAGTTTATGTACCGTACTCTGATTTTTCAACCAAAACAAATAAAAGGTTAAATTTCATACGATGATGGTTAAATATAGGTATTTAAATCATTTTAACAAATTTTGGTAATTTGCTGTCAATAAATTATTCATTTGAAAGCTTTGTTAAAGACCCTTTCCTGTCTGAAAATTAATTATAGCCAACCTCATTTTCCGGTACCATAATTATGTGTTAACAGCATAAAAGTTTTAAAAAACATATTTTTGAAAAATTCAGTTTCATTATTATTTCATTTAATAAGACGGTAGAGGAATTTTTCTTTGAAGTTTGCTCTTCTGCACGGGACTACAGTGGGCGGAGCTACTTTCCGTTCTGTATTAGTCTTCTATACTGTTGTATGTGTATACATCTAATAAAACTGAAATATTAAGACCCCTGAAATAAATTAGGATCAATCTCCATCTACAGCAAGGTTAGACCGTCCCCCTTATCAGTTAAGACTGACTTAAATTCAATTGCGTCTACCCGTTGTCAAAACTAATCTGACTGAAACTTACGTTGTCCGTGGAAATATATATACTGCGAATGCATGGTCCCCGTCGAGGCCTCATCTAAGAACTCTAGCGGAAGTTTAGATGCTGCACAGCTAAAAAGTGGGATTTTTTTCTTATTTTCTCTAAATAATATTTATTTTATCTTTGCTTAAATTATCAGGCAGAGTGTATTTTGTCTTTACAGTACGTTTTCTTTTGTGTTTCCTTTTTCTCTAATCTTTAATTAAAAGAAATATGAAAGTAATGTTATTTATGTATTGTTTGAGCATTTAAGTGCCTTTTTATTTGTCCTGATAAGGAAAAAACATAAAAATTAAACAAAATAACAAGAAATATTAAGTAGAAATGAAGCGCAAGAAGTGCCAACTTTGAAAGCGTATTGTAAAAATTCTAGACATAGAATCTCAAATCGCCACATACAATTGATAGTTTAATGTCTGATCTTTTATTTAATTGTACTCTGGTGCTTGCACTTTTTGCTTAAAGGTAGGCATGCGGCGTTTGAAAATTACCTGTGCTATCCTCTGAAATCAGAAGATAAACTATCCGACATTGCATTGCGATTTCCATATATGGTAAAAAATTTGGCTGCCATATTGAATCTAGCTATCCTCCAAAAACGGAGGCCGCCCAGACCTGATAAAGCAAATTTTGTAAATGTGAGCATAAAAATGAAAGGTTATACATCATTTTAAATATTTCTTTCAAAAATTTCAAAAAAGAATTGAAAATAAGTTTACCTTTAATTTTCAACACAGCTAGGTACTTGTAGTAGCCAACAATGCATTGCGG